CAAAATGGCAAGAGAACACAAAATAGCAGCATCCCTTATCAGCCCCAGGGCTGTGTACTCTCCTCCTCATTTCCAGAGGATACTCGGAGCACAAATGACCCATTCATCAAGATCAGCAGGTACAACTTTGCTTTAAATACATACACACCACGGCAGCCACCCGCTCCATTAACAGAGGAAGAGCTTTGAGCATTAATTTCATCTGATATTAATGCAAAGCTTAATTACAAATAGAGATAGGGGAGTGAAAGCTTATTGCAGCCCAAGCCCTTTTCCAGTGATGCTTGGGTTAGAGAGGAACATCTCGTGCTTTCACAAGCCCCTGTGGTGGATAGGGAATATTTGGCTGCCGTTATTTGTGGTAGGGACAAATCATACCAAAGTGTGTCTTTGCATGAGGTGCCATCAAGCAGGGGCTTTGCAGACCCAGGAAAGGATTCCCATGACTTTGCTTGCTCCGACTATGGCCCACGTCCATCCTACGGCTCTGCCAGCCCAGCAGCAGCAGACCCTGATGGGACCCGTTATCCCACTCCCTGGATAATCCAGGATTGCTGCCTCACACCAGGCTGGCACCAGGCACGTTTGCAGAAGGGTCTTCCTGCTCAGCAAGGCGGTTTTGCAGATTTGCTCTAATCGGGATTTAAAGCAAGGTGAAAGGGGGCAAGGAAAGTGCATCCTGAGCCAGCCAAACGGGCAAGTAGGTGCAGGTAGAAAAGCCGGAGCCTCTGACCAAAGGAACCAAGAGCAAAACTGGGGATTTCAAATAATCAAAAACCCACGTGCCAGGGGTTTTACACTCAGAGTGGGTTTTCTTTGTGCTGAAGAAAAAAGTGACTACATTTTCCGGAAAACACCCATCTTGAGATAAAAAGAGGTATTAACAGAAGAGCAAGAAACTGAACAGCTCTTAACTGCAGACCACGAGTGCAGTCTTGGAGGACATCTCCTTGGCCTTGCCCCAAGGAATTAATAGGACAAAGAGGAACTGGAAGCACTGAGCCCCCARCATCCACTTTCCCACCCTCCTTACCAAAAACATCTCAGTGTTAACTTTTTCTTTTCCAAAAATTGAAATTTTCTACATGAAAAAATTTTGGCTTCTGTACTGAAAAACATCCCTCCACGTTTTGATCGGCGCTGATTAGAGGAGACYATGCTCAGAAGAACAATTCAGCCCAGTGTATTTCCTCTCACGTGGCGTGGTTCAAATCCAAGTTATTTATAGGCTTAGATTTGGCTCACCAGCTACTGCACTCAATGGAAATCTTTCCATTGACTTCAGTGGATGCTGCATCCTGGCCCTGCATTTAAAAATATATCCCTCTTCCTTGCAAGGACCTAAAGCTAGCAGCTCCCTGGAAGGTCACTGTGACAAGACAGGTGCTGTCGAGGTCCAGGTGCAAGGGGCAAGAGTGAAGAAGGTTGGGAAAGATTAATTGTGCTCCACCTGGAGCAGGTGGGCATGTTACCCGGGTGGATTGCATAGCTGTAAAAACTCAAAACATAAAAAAAAAAAACACTGTAAAAACTCAAAAAATAATAAAAATTATAAAAATAATCAGGAGGTACAAAGCACCCACCTCCCAGCACCCTAGAGAAGCAAAGCAAGGCTTGAGAGATGCTGCCCATGGGCAGATTGCCATCCCAAAGCAGCCTGTGACCCCAACATGTGCTGTGGGGCAGCTGGCAGCTCTTCCCCCATACTAGGAAGGCTGGGATGGGAAGGGAGGAAAGTTGTATCATCCTTTTGAAACTACAAAAGCAGACGAAAATGTAATTATAATCACCCAAACTGGAGTTCTGCCAGGACAGCAGGACTAATGGTCTTGCTCTCGCAAGAAGCACCATGGGATTTTTGTAATGATTGCAAGTGGTCAGGACCTCGGTTTTACATCTCATTTGGAAGATAATGAAGAAGTCTCCCATTTATTTCTGGTCCTAAGGGAAGGAAGGACAAATTGACTATGTCAAAGGGCTAAAGGACTCCGAAATGTAGATTCTTCTGCTCGAGATGTGACCAGAAGCTGTGACAGCCAGGAGCATGGGGGTGACAAGGGGGCGGAAACAAGGAGCAGAGAGGCAATGCCTGTGATTTCAGGAGGCTCTCGGTGGCGTTTCCACATTTTCCRAATCCGCTGCGACTCCAGTGACATTGCTGAAAGGAAGGTGAGCCTTTTTTTTTCATATGAGTTACTCCTGCTGTAAAATATATTTGGAGGGAATGAGTTTATAAAGCTATCTCCGAGATAATTGGCAAGGATACTCCGCTCTCCCGTGAAGGTTACGAGGGGGTTACAGGAGGGTCCTCGCTTTACACTGGGAGCGACGAGAAATTAATAGATCTTGCGGTGTCAGTCCCAAGGCAGACGATCATGATAAACTGSAAACAGGCAGAGAGGCCCCTGCCAAGTTGGGGAGGGGGAAAGAGAGACGCGTCAGACCCCTGGGAGATGCACGAATTCAAACCCAACGCCTCCGCTGAGCACAAGAGCGGAGATTGCCACTAAAGGGTCAGYGCAAGCGGAGGGGCAGCGGATATTACTTCACTCTCCAAAGGGAGGCAAGTGCAGCCTCTCCAGAGACCCTGCTTGTTTGCAGCAGCGGCAGGGAGCTCTGCTCAGGGAGCTGCATTGGCAAGTGCTGTTTTTATAAAGCAATAGCCACTGCGCATGCAGAAGAGGATTTCACCCTTCCCATCCACGATTATTTCCGTATCTAAACCTTTTGCAGGGCCTATATGGTTCCTCTCTTCTGTCAGAAGCATGGGGAAAAAAAAAGTTCTCACACCCTAGAAAACTGTAGAAAAGCATTTGGACAATGGGAAGAGTTGGCAAGGGCTGTTCTGGAAAGTCATTAAGCGCATATTGGCTGCTGTATAGATGGAGCTGCTGGAGTGGATAAAGGAAGGGCTGAGCTATTGAAGAGAAGGAGTAGTTAAATGAAAGCAGTTCGGATTGCAAAGTATAGACTGCCACGGGGATCAATATTGGAATCAGTTTAATTAATTCAGATGATCAATAGCCTGGAAGGATGGAGGCAGAGGCCAGCAGGGCAATTTGTTCACGGTGCAGAACAGTCACGGAGCAGCTCTCGGCTCGYGGGGCGCTGCTCCTCGGGAGCAAAGCGTGTGCCAAAAGCCCAYGAATGTGGGAGAGAGCAGAACTGATGCTAGGGAGAGCACTGAGGATGGGGTTTGTCTCAGGGTCTTGCACAATATAACACAGAGGCTCGCAGTGAACAGGCTTGATCCTGCTGGTGCATCCCGAAAGGTAGCCGGGAAGGACACTGGCTTCAGCAGGGAAATCCTGCAGCATCAGCAGCTTGGACTGAAGAAGAGCAGGAAGGACACGGCAAAGGTGAGGAGAGCGCTCAGGTTTGGACAAACATCACAGAGCTGGGACGAGGCTGCCCTGGGGACCAGCACGGGCAGCTAGCAGAGCGGTGCCTCCATCAGAAGGGAGGAGGGACAGGAGGATGGATCCGAGAACATCCTCCATATCCAGAGCTGTAGGAGAGCCCTTGGAGGGAGGGCTGATGCGGATCAGCCTCATTCCTGAAAAACCACAAACAAACAGGCGAGGACATGAGCATCCACCCGGGGGGAGGCAGGCAGAGCATCGCACCCCCCCGAGCCTTCTGAGCCGCAGAGCCCATCAGAGGCTCCGGAGCCCCGCGAAGGAGCAGACAGATGCGGAGATAATTACTATCCTGGCAAAGAACTTCTTCACGCATCCAGAAGGAGAGTTATGGCCTCGCAGCTGTCTCCAGGAGAGAGTGAAAGCATTTTTTCCATGGTACATTGCAATGGCAATTAATTTTCTTGATAAGTTTAAGCTAACCTTTATTTTAAGGAGGAAGATAACTTGTTGCAAGAAGCATCTTCTAACCTGGCATTTACCAAGGACGATGGCAAAATCATTTGGAAAGCAATTAAAGGATTTTTTTTTGTTTTGTTTTAATTTCCTTGTACCCTTTTAAGGTGCTGCAGAGCCTCTGGCCACTCWCGCTCAGGATGACTCAGTGTTTCTCCTTCCTGGCCCCTTTCCAAACGCTCAGGGTGTCTCAAAGCGCAGCCTCTGGGCCCCAGCTTTGGCAGGGCCTCTCTCTGACACACAGAACATTTTCTCCTGGAGGTTTCACCGTCAGCCTGGACCCTTTTCCTGCATRAAAGGCCTGGGAAAGAAAAGCTCAGGTTCCTCTCTGCTAAACAAAATGACTTGCAGTGCCTTTTTGAAGGGTTCTAGCCTTTCAACAGAAGAGGTTGAAATGTCAGCTCCTGAGAGCTGTCCCCATGACCCCAGTGCTCTCTTCCAGTTTTATAGAAGTCCTTTCCCCCTCTTCCCCAGATCAACACTGCTAAAGTGCTTTAGAAAGGAATAATGCCATATAAGTGCTCAATAGCATTCTATTATACTAAATAATCCCTTTATCTAAATGGAAACAATATTTGGACCATTTTAAATAATGCATTCTACCTTCTTAATCAACAATACCTTTATCATAGTACACGTGTAATTAGTGCCAAGAACACAACAGTATCTCATTCTAAATTACAGCAGAGGAGGCAGCGACGAGCCAAAAGGCAYATGGAAAAAAGGATCAGCTGGTCCCGCCGGTGCTTTTCTCATGAAGCATTTTGGCTGGTGAGCACGAAAGCACGAGTAGCTCCCAAAAGCAAAGGCAACATCCCTGCCAGGGCACCGAGGTGCAGCCCTGGGCACCAACACCACACAAGGAGCAATGAAAATGCTGCAGAGAAGAGCTACCTCGCTGAGAAGGACCTTAGCCCGTTGTCTTTGCTCTGCTATAAAGGCAGAAATGCGAGATTTTACTTCCAGTGTAAGGAGCACAGGGAGTGCTGGAGAGCAGAGAATCGCCCTCACTGCCACAAGGCTCGGGCAGAGCAAGAGACCAAAGGAAAATAAGGAGGCAGCAAAGAAAACTCAGTCGAGTATATGAGGAAGGCCCTTTGCTGCATTTTTGCAGCTCCACCTCTTAATTGCACTTGATCCAAACTCTCTTGTCTCCAAAAGGATTTCCCAACCTAAAGAAGATAGAAAGTTTTTGAGAGCCACAAGGCAGCGCACACAGCCAGGGCGGAATCAGGCAGGTCACCCAGCTGCAACCCCCAGTTCTGAAATCCTCACTTATTTAAAAGTTTTCTTACCTCTCTCTCTGACACGGAGCACACAACAGCGTGATAAAACGCCTCCAGTCCCAGCTAATTGTTTTGTGGGATGACCTGTCAGAATATAATCAGATCACCGCGTGCCTTGCTGCTACAGGAGAGCTCTGTGATGCTTGAATGTCAAGCCRCCAAGGAGAGAGCCTAACCCTTGCAATGACAGGATGTTTAAACCAGGGATTACGCGCTCCTGGTGAGGCTGTTTGCACAGCGCTAGTGCTGGGGTGCTGCACAGCGACAATAAACCCAAGACCTCAGCTGCAATAACGGCAATAAAAATAAGCAAATAGGCAGCAAAATGGGATGCGATAATAGACCCTCTGCAGAAGGCWGCACTGCTGGGAGCATCACGGACACGGCTCCTTGTCCCGACCGGCCTCCCTTCATGCAGGATCTCCTGCACTCATTACAGCTGCTCCAGCAAATTGAGGGCTTCAGAGCTCACAGAACTCAGCTGCTGTGYTTTAGTGAAACGTGGGGAGTGTGGATAAAGCTGTTTACCCAAGGGAATTCACTTGCACTATCRCATTAGGTGGAGAGATCCACGGGGAAAGGAAGGGGTTTTTATTTATAAGGCTGGCAAAGGCAGAAGGGGGCCCTGGGATGAGCTGATAAGGGAAAACAGATTGCGAGTAGATATTTAGCAGACAAAAGATACACCCAGCAGTCAAATGAGCTGATGAAGCAACCAGAGAGGTCTCACACACTCCCCCAACCCAGCTAACACAYAGATGATGATCTGCAGCGTTGGAGAACTGCAGACATTGGCAGTGGTGGCAAACGTGCAGCCACCGCAGCGGGTCCTGGCCCTGGCTGCTACACTGGTCACCTATTTCCCATGGCCAGCCTGGAGAAGCAAGGGCTCTGCACGACACAGCTGCCTGCCCCTCACCCAGGGTCCATGGACGGCGATTGAAGCACTCCTTAACCTCCCGTGCGGCACGTGAAACGCTGCAGCCCTCCCCTATAGCGCCGTTTCTCAACGCTCTGCTTATTCCTCTGTCTCTCCTCTGACATTCTCCTATTTTTCTCCACGCTTTCCGAAACATGGACACCAGAAATAAGCAGAGCATCCAGCAGCCGTGAGGCACTGCCAAACCCAGAGATAATACAGGCTCCCTACTCCTACTCCCTGCTATACTTAGCCACACTCCCAGGAATCTGACTGGTCCTTTCGCTGCTGCCACAAGTGGGAAGTCACACACATTTATTTTTCCACCGTGCCTTTACTGCGCTATTGCCTGCTAAGACAGCCTCCTCCTCCTCCTCCTCCACAGGCCTGACCTACATTCTTTGTTTCTAAATGCATGACCTTGCATTTGCATGTGTTGAAATGCATATTTGCACTTGCACTCGGCTCAGCCAGCCTGTCAGGTTGCATACCAGACCCTACCTGTTCCCTGCTTACCATATTTTCAGTCCTCAAGTCACAKGGAAACCTTATCAATACTACCAAAATACTTTCTTCTCTTCCATTGACAAAAATATGATAAAGAACATAGAAAGAAAGATCTTTATAAGCAAGAAAAAGTCCTCATTTGTGTAGACTTTTTTTGACATAAGCTGGCAGCTTTTTAAACCATTTACTAGGTGCCACAATCWTTCAGTAGCATTCTTAAGTGACAATAAAAGCTTGTAAAATCATAAACACACAGAGCTACATATCTTACCTGAATTATACTGCTTTATTAGTCTCAGACATAAACTACTCAGGAAAAAAACATAATGTTAACGTGACAAGTTCTAGTTTACATAGCCCTATGTTGGCCAACACAAACTATCTCGCTTCCCTTATACTCTTCTTCACCAGAATCTGTCCTTCCATTGCTCTGCCCTGGCCACCACCCAGCTCCTTCTCTTACCTTCTCCAGCTGCCAGGCAGACAAGGGCTATTCTCCAGCTTCTTCCAATTCCTCCTGATTTCTAAGATTAATGACTTCTGTCCAGCCTAACGAGGTAGGGCACACCTTGAGCAAATTGGTTACCTGGATGCAGGTTGCTGTGTTTAACTGCTTTTAGGTTTTTTTTGGGTGCTCTCAGAGTAGAATATAGCAGTGATAGGTACTTGCTGAGAAATTTCAYTCAATACTGTTTGAATGGATATCAGATACAGGATTGTTAAAATGATTCTGCTATTGACAGAAAAGTTGGGACAAAGATGTTTTTTCCCTCCTACTGCATCTCCCAGAAGTTACCCAGGTAGGGCAGGTTATTATCAGGGCTCCTCAAGCCTTCCCTTTTATTGAAGCTAAGACTCAGGAAGGTGAATTCCCACCAACTTAAAGACTATCCTGAGTTCTCAAACACTTGTAGTTTCTGCTTTAAGACAACTCAAGCACAAGGTATGTCCTTGAGAAGAGACTTGGCTTAATGCAAGACCTCATGGAGGGAGTTTCCTCAGCCAGAACGACCCCATCCCCATGCAAAGCTCAGGCATGCCTCAACTTTACCCATCATCTACTGAAGAAGGCTTCCAGCCAGCTCACACCAACTTACACAGTCCTTACATTTCTTATTTATCACATTCCTTATAAACTTACAACTTACTATTAAAAAACTTACTCTTTCCTACTAAATTACTATATCCTGCTTTGGCCAAACCAAAGTTCTCACATGAGGCCACAAAACACATCTAACCTCTGGGACTGAGATAGTGGTGGGATCCCTAACCAGATGGCAATGCTCCTTAGCAGCCCCTTGCCAGCACATCTTACATGTAACACACACACACGGTCACCCCTGCTGCCACCCACGCCATGGCAGCAGATACCCCTGTTTGAAAATATTCCAATCCACAGGAGCAGCAGACCTTCTTTTTGCAAATAAATCTGGGCCTTCTCTGCAGCTATGCCCAAGGTGCTGCAGAAAAGCAAACAACCAAGGAGGTGCACGATAGGATGCGAGACTGGCTCCTTCTCCATACCCTCCAAGAGCAAGGGCATCCCCAGGGATTCAGGCATGAAGGAACTGGTCCACAGGAGAGGGAGAAGCACAGCGTATCCCGGAACAAGTGACATCCATGGGAGGCTCTGTGAGGAGCCACATGCAGCTYGAAGGTGTCTCCCCAGGAGTCGGGAATTGCTGAGCAGGAGCCTGGCTCTGCGCAGGGCTCGGGCAGCTGCGGTCGCCCCCGAGCTGTGGGATCCCCCCGAGGAAGGGATGCAGCCCACGGACACTGARTCACAGCCGCGTCTGCCGCCGCCAGCCTCGCCTCTGGCTTTCCGAAGGAAAAAGGGAAAAAATCCCAAAGGATTAAAGCTGTGCAGAGACGAGCAGCACACGGAGATGCTGGGGAAGGAGGAGATGCCAAGGAAGGAGGAGATGCCACCAGTGGCTGAATGGAGCCTCACCCAGTGCTTCTGCAGCCCAAATTGGTGCCCCAAAACGCTGCCCACCTCTTAGCTGGCTGTGCCCAAGCCCCCAGGCTGCTTTTAAAAAAAGACCTTGCTGCAGGGCTCTGAAGGACCCTGTGGTCCAGGAGCGGGCGCCTCATGGCTCCTTCCCACGTCAAATTCCTCTGGGAAGGCCAGGGAGAGAGCAGAGCGTTGCAGCCCGGAGCGCTCGCTCCAACCAAGCATCTCAATGATTCACCAGCCTGAACACATGTGGGGCAATTTGGAGTGTGGCTGCTGGTCTTGTCAGTCTGTCTCCCTGTGTACAGATGGAGCAGAGMACGCTGGCAGCGGGCAGATTAATAATACATTTATTTTCCCCGTATATCATGAGGAAGAGGAAGGGCCGTAACTGAAGAGCCTCCCCGAGAGTTTTGTGAATTCCTCACAATAGGAGACAAGAGCTGGAGAGCAGCTTTTGTGCTTTAAAGCTGGTGCCACTCTGTATTTTACTGCAACATTTAAAAGGTGCACAAGAACTGTGGGTACCCTAAATAYAGCCAATATTAAACCGCTCTTGCTTTTCACAAGCTCTCCAGAGCAGCAGACAGTCACTCTGGGAGGGCCTTGGTGGCACTGACAACTCCTCAGTACCTCTAAGGAAGTATAAGACATCCATGAGCAATTCAAACTGCAGATCTGCATGGTTTTCCATAGAAAAAAAACAGCAGGATATTGCAGAGCTGGGGACATCACTTGAGGAGAGGAGCTGACAGGAGCCCAGGGCTCTTCTCCTGCCCTATTGCTCACTCTTCTGTTCCCAGGCGCCCTGAAAAAAGACGTTTATAAGTGACCATCCCTGCATTCATTCAAAAAAAAAGTTTTAGTCTTATACATATATATATATATATATATTTCTCTCTTTATATGTATATATAGATACATGTCCCCCTGGTTGTACTGCCCCAGATTTGCGGGTTCCCATTCTCACTCTCTCCTTCTCTTCCGTCCTTATAAAGTTTCCCTGGTGCCTGGATGAAAAGGAACAGCGCTCGGGCTCGCTGCATTTCTCGTCCGCTTAAACGTTCCGGTTTAGGGAAGGAAACTGTCATTTAAAAAGCTAAGGGTATTTCACAGAGTCTTGCTCGGCGGAGCTCGTTTGCACATTCACTTCGGTTCACACAAAGGGAAGCAGGAGATGAGATTTTCTGATATCGGCATTGCTTTACATATCTGACGGGTAAGTACAAAACAGGGTGATAATGAAGGCATGTTGGCGTGTATTAATCAGAAAGGCACACAGAAAGGCTCTGCCTGAGACTAGTAATTTATATGTCTCCGTGTTTTTTTTTTTAATCTTAAGAAGAAGAAAATGTGGAGAAATAAGCATCAGAATTACCACCACTTGCCAGCATTTCAGAGAGCGGATCCGAGCAGGTCCCTGAGTGCCCCGGCCCTCCGTGGTCACGCTTTCCTTAGAGCAGAGCAAACCAGAGCACAAATCCAACATAAGCAACGCAGAGCAGGATTAGCTGGGAAGAGCTGAGCTCCCAGCTCGGCCCGTGAGCAAAGTGAGCCAAGAAACCATCCTTCAAATGCATAGCTGGCCCAAGAGACTCGCAGAGAGCTCAGCAAGAGCACACTATCTTTTCTAATAATCAGCTGCTGATTTGAGGCCACGGACACTGTCAGTATAGGTAGAAAAATCACTCCTAACTCGCTTTCTTAAAAATAGTAACTCCAGCGCCAGCACAGAAAAGAGCTGTTTTACCAACAGGCYCCATAATTCACGCCAATAACCCAGCAAAGACAATTCCTGCTGCGGCTCCGACCTCATGGGATAGTCTGAGGCTTGTCGCGTCATATGGGAACCAGGAGTCATTAGGGTGGGAAAAGGGAGCCTAATTTAGTAACCTGCAGTTTTCAATGTTTGCAATATTGGTAACTCTCACGACCACGACATAGTGCTACGTGGCTCGTATATGCATATGCTAGATAGCAGCAGGTCATCACGACAGTCACCAGAGCTGCCGTGGCACCAGCATTTCAATTACAAAATGCCTTTGCAGAGATTAATAACATAGCTTATGCTTTAAGCCAAGAAGCAATTTTTCCCCCTCCGAAATTTCATTAAAGGCTGCTGAGAGAGCAAAAAGCACAGTGACTTCTGCGTACGTTCAGATGTTGCTTCTATAYTCTCTCACTACAGAAAAACTACGCTCCAGGCAATTAGCTCTTAGCTGGGACTAGTCATCCCTGACCTCTAACATTTCAAAGGGAAACACATATTCTCCCCAGCCCAAATACCACTGCAAAAAACTCTGCACAATTGCATTCATTCTCCCATATACTAGTGGCTATAGGCTATATAGTGAGACTGTATGTTTTGTTTGCAGCATGTTGGCCATGCCTTTTTGGATGCAGGCAATTCCCAGTGAAATAATACACCCAGTTTCAGATCTCCGTTTCAGCACGTATTACCTCGCTTTGCCTTCATGGTCAAGAGAAGTCTTGACTTCTCTTCCCAAACACCTCTGTAGGACAAAGGAAAACTTGCTAACACAATAAAAACACAGTATTTTCGAGCATCCGTGGCAAGGGCAYCAAGGTGATGTCAGCCCTGTCCCGGCTCCTTTGTGCTGAGCCCTTTTTGATGCTGACAAAGACCTCATTCCCCAGCAGAAGCCTGGAGGCTGGGTCCAGAGCCACCTACAGACGAGAGATTCACATTATTCAGTGAAAAGATGGCTAAATGCTCAAAAAAAAAGAAAAAAAAATCAGTTCATTTTTCTCTGTTGCTAACAAAAACCTGCAATCACAGCAGAGTTGGGCACCGCTCTTGCTGCTGGCGGGGAGCTCCGGGCAGGGTCTGCTGCCCAGCTGGCACAGGCTGTCCCGGCTCCATCCCGGGCAAAAATACAGCTGCTCCCGTTATTAAATCACAACCTGGGTGCACTTTCCAAAATACAGTAGCTTGGCTAATTAAACTATTAAATTATGCTCAAAAATAAACACTTGGAAGTTTCAGGCGAGACAAAGCCATGAATACTAAGAACCTACCAACTTAGCATGATTGATTACACACAGAGGCACGCTCGCTCTTGAAGAAGGGCTATGGAAAAAGCATTGCTTCCATCAGGCTTCAAAGGAGCAGTTGTGCAGCATTGGGGAGGGGCATTAATTAATTGCACCCTGAAACATTTTAGTGATTGAATCCATGACCCCGGCACTTGTAAGGTCGTCAGATGATAGATAGTGTTGCTCAGGGTATCGCGCATGACATCCGTGCTAGAAAGCTCATTATATGAGACGTCAGGTCATGTAAATCACAGGAAACAAATACAAGCATCCATCAGAGAAATGCAGATCCTCGTTATAGGCAGCAGAGAGGAGCTGAATTATTATGCAAAATTTATTTTGACTGTTAAAATACAAAGAGGTGACACCAAATTGTCCTTTAAG